TTTATTATTAAAAAGAAGAATAATTTAAAAATATTAAAAATATTAGTTTTAAGTATTTATTGAACAATAAAATAACAATATCATTTTTAATATATAATTAATCACAAAAAATAATAGTTAGGAATTTTATAAAAACAAATGCAAATTAATATATATAATATAGATAAATATAAAATAGTTTTCAATCATAATAAATAAATAAATATATGCAACGATTTCTTTAAGATAATTTTTTCTTCTTCCTTATATTTATTTTTATTCTTAAATTTATTCATCAAGTGATAATTAAATGAATGATAAATTAGATTTAAAATAGTTATCAAATCTAATGATAAATATATATACTGAAATATTTTAATAAACAAATTCGTCGTTTTTAGGAAAACTACATAAATGATCAAAACATTACATAAATTTAATTATATTAATAATTATAGGCTAAAAATCTGAAAGAAATATATAAATTAATTAAAACAATTTATTATTATATATAAATAAAATAATTAAAATTCAAATAAAAAAAAGTTGATTACCTTATTATGGTGAGAAACAGATCTCTCATGCTTTGTCAAATGACCCTTGGTTCGAAAAGAGACAGCGCAACTTTCACATCTAAATGGTCTTTCGAAGTAATGAATGTTGATATGCAACCGTAACTGACTAGGTTTGCTGAACACTTTATTACAAATTCCGCACACGCTTCTTCCATCCTCAGTCACACTGTAACTACATTCGGTAGATTCAGTTCTTTCATTGTAAATTACTATGTTGTTAATAGTATCAAAGAATAGTGAATGAATCGGAATTTCTTCAAGGAATTAATTAACTTTTAAATTAAATTTTTTCATATTTTTAAAATATTTAAAAATTTTTAAATATTTTTAAAATAGATTTTTATATTATTGAAGTATTTTTTTTCTATAAAATTTTTGAATTATGAAAAATGATAATTTTTTATTCTAATTGCCAGTATATTTCAACTATGTAACTTAATTTAATATGAATATCTAACAATAATTTTTTGCACTAGAAATCTGGTATATAGTAATATTGTTATATCATTATATATATTCTAAAAATATATCATTATGTTTATAATTAATATGAAGTGTATATATCAAAATATTGTTTAGAAAATTAATTTTTAATAGTTTTATTTATTAATAAAGTTAATGATATTGTTATGAACATTAAAGGCTATAGCGAAGTTTTATGGGTAAAGAAAATGATTGATCATTATATCATATATCATTATATACATTACTACTGAAAATACTAAAAAATGAATCATTTCTATTATTTTATAATTATTAATTAAATTACTATTATATTATATTGTGTATTATACAATTAAGGACCTTGCAGTTTTTAGATATGCTTTTAAATACGTAAAAAAAATTCTACATAAAAACTTACAAAATAAACTGCAAATATAAAAAATAATAAAAAAATAAGTACAGATTTTGAATTATTTCGTGAAATAAAAATTTGATCTTATTTCTCTTTTGTTTTTAATAAAAAATGACATTTTTAATTAATAAAACAATAATAAATCAATAAATTATATTTTATTAATTACTGTTAATAAAAAGTAATCTTTTTTTTTATGTAAATCGAAGATACTTTAATTTTAAATTCATGAAAAATAACTTTATAATTCAATGAGTATTATTATGTTAAAATATAATATATTTATTCTATCAATTATTATTTAATATAATAACATATATATAATATGTTAAATCAAAATAATATAATATGTTAAATCAAAATATCAATTTTTTTTATTTGAGTAGTTTATAATAATAATATAAATAAATTTTAAAAAATAATATTTTAGATAATAATATAAGCTTTAATTGTTGAATAATGTAGAACACGAGAACATATATATAATAAGTTTATATAAAGTTTATATTATTAACATTATTACAGTTATATTTATTAAGTATTAGAAAAAAAAATAGTAAAATGTAGAATTTTTAAATTTTTAAATTTTTTCTAAAAAAATAGTAAAATTTTTAGTTACTTTAATTTTGTTTTTTTTTTTTTTAAAGTTAAATACTACAAAATATACTACGAAAGGAAATAAGAAATATTTATTTTTATATATAATAATTAATTAAAATATATGATCATTATATTTTCATTTAAAAATTGCTGATCTTTCAATTATAGTATGATTCAAAGAAATCACTGATTAATTTTACTTTCTGAAAAATTTTTAACTATATTTTTAATTATAATTTTCAGAAATGAAATAATTAATTTTGATAAATCAGTAAAATAAAATTTTATTGATTATATTTAAACTTATCAAGACTTATTTCATTTCTAAAAATCATAACATATATATATATATTAACCAATTATAAAAACTGATATCATTGACCACAATAGTAAAACTAGATTTAACAATCACTTAATTTTCAATTAAATTAAATTATTTTAATTATTTTAATTAATTTATTTTGATCTTTATTTTAACAAAGACCAGACATTTAAACATAAATGTAAGAAAATAATATATTTTATTATTTTTAATATGAATTTCCTCTAATCCATCAACAATATACAACATATCAACATTATTGAAAAATATGTTTTAAATAAATAGTAAATATGTAAATTATTCTATTTATTAAAAAAAATATATTAAAATATATTTATATATTTTAAATAATATATAAATATTATATAATATAATATATTTTAAATAATATATAAAATATTTTACAATAAATATTCTATTGTAAAAATTTAAAAAATATTTTCTGCATTTAAAAAAAATATATAGTTTATTAAAATATTATAAATATTTTCATTTTTTCAAATTTTGAATGTACAATTTATGTTATTTATGTATAACTTATATTAAGATGGAAGAAGTAATCATTATGAAAAGAATAGATACTAGATAAATATTTAGAAATTTAGACATGAAATATTAAAAGTAACAGATTAATAAATTAATACTATATTGAAATTAGTATTATCTAATGACTTCAATTTATATTCTGAGCATTATCAATAATTATCATAATTATCATAATTATCAATAATTTTTAGATAAAATGTATATTTAATAAGAAAAAATGTATACAAATATACATATAAATAAAATATATAAATGAAATAATTTAACTTTAAAAAGATTAAAAAAACTCAAGTTTACTTAAGAAATTTGAAAAAAGTGTAATTTTTCTCATTCCAAAAATTTTCAAAAAATTATTTATTGCCATTTTTAAATTCAGAATTCGCGTAGAAAAATCAGTAATTAAATATATTTTTTTCTGTTTTTTTTTTGTTTTCTCTATTTTTCTACTTATTGCATACAAGTCCTGTTGCAATAGTCTTTCTAAAATTAATCGAAAGTTAATAAAATATAATCGAACCAACATATGAAATATCCTGTTGCAATAGTCTTTTTAAAATTAATCGAAAGTTAATAAAATATAATCGAACCAACACATGAAATATCACTCACCTGACATAATTAGGGGCAGGTCCATTCGAAGGCTGCAAGAATTCAGCTTGTGGTTTAGTGGTTGACGCGTTAGAAAAGGGTGATCTGAAACCTGGCCCTCCGACAACCATTTTTCGCGCAACTGTATGTTTAATGCTCTCCGCAATGCTTTGTTTCGTTATATCCGTATGATTCATCTCGATACGATCCATGTTTCTCATGTCAATGTTTTGCGGTCTCGAGACTTCATGTATTTTAGAGGATTCGTGCATCATTAATGGCAATTTTTCAAAATTAATTCTCGATTCTTGAGATTGGGTATGGTGTCTGTTATCCGACAATAAAATCATATCTCTGCTCGGAGATCTGTTGTCCATGTTGACCGGTCTGACACTTTCCATGTTATTTGAGGAAGGAATATCTTGGCTCAAACGTATGTCATGATTCAATTTTGATTTGACAGGACTCGTTAAACCGATATTTTCCGCGGTGTGTTTCGATGTATGTTTGATTCTTGAATCCATCACTGCTTGCATTTGCATCTTGGTGGAATCGGTGTAAGTCGTTGCTGGAATACTTTCCATTAATTCGATGCTTCTCGATTTCGGAGAGTTTTGTTGTGGATAAATATCCCTCTCCTTCGCTTGTTTCTTAATATTCCCCACCCGATACTGTTGTTTAATCTTGCTATCCATAACATGCCTTTCAGTGAGATACGCTTGCAACATGTGTCCCTCGGCATCCGGTTTCCACTCTCTCCCCTGTATCGGCAGTCTTTCCATAGTTTGAACGATCGTTTGTAACAAGACCGGTTCCGAAACGGGAGTTAAAATGTCTGCTGGCCTGGCTCTTTGCGGTATGGAAGAGGGCAATGTTTGCAAAGCTGGCTTCGTTGTCAGATCTATGGGCTGCGGCAAACTATTTGTTGAATCGGTATCGACAATCTCGTTCACTTCGACATCAGGGCATTCTTCTTTCTTCGATGATTGGATCACGCTCATCCTCGAGTCCTCGGGACTAATTCGACTCGAAAAATAGTAACGTTGGGACAATTCGTTTCGAACAAGAGTGGTTTTTTGCATAGTGACAGGTTGGCTAGTCAGACAGGTATTGTTGCTTATCGTGGTAGATATGCTCGCGAATGTGGAAGTTGTCGGGAAGGTGAGAGTGTAAGGATAAGTCGTAGGTCGTCCAAACGGCAATAGCCCCGGATATCTATTCGTATTACGTTGCGATAAACTTAGCAAACTCTGTGCAGCTTCTTGCTCCTCGCTTCTCGATTCCTCGCTCTCTTCTCCTTCGCTTTCTTCCTCTTCTTCCGAGGACTCCTCGATATTGCCACCTGCTGCTAATCGGGCTATAGCGTCTTTATCAATGTTTTCATCGCAGACTGCTGTAGGTACTGGGATAACGCCTAATTCCACACACTTTTTGTAATGAGCTTTTGATTTCATATGCTTTGTGAGGTTGCCTTTGGTTTTAAAACTGTTCGTGAAAAAAGAAAAAAAATATTTGTAAGATATGTAAACCATAGATATTATATTATACATGGATTGATTGAAAAGTAATATTGCATTCAATATGAAAAAACGAAAAAATATATAGAGCAACATGAGTCAGATTTTATTAACATTTATGAGTGTCATTTCGATAGACATCGATGAAATTTCATTATAGACATAGGAAATCTTAACTTCGAAATTCATGCATTTTCAAAAAGATATAGATTCCAATTATTAATGAAATTTATATAGAAGATGTCTCATTCGTTATAATTAAATATTTCATGAAGAATTAAACATCAAAGAAATGTTTTAACAAAATTTGATCAAAAGATTTAAGGATATATAGATAAAAATTTTAAATAATTATATTACTATTTAGATTAAATAATAGGAGAGATTTCAATTTTTTTTTAAAATAGAATCATTTTGAATGTATTAATCGATGTATTTATCTATATATTTTTTATAAAGAAATAATATCAATTTGTAGACGCCATTTTTTTTGTACATGTAACGCATAAATCTAATCATTATATTAGTGATATATAATTTGATTTTATTAATTTTTTTAGAAATGTTATTAATTTGAAAAAATTTATTTTGTAAATAAAAAATTGAGTGATTATTTACAAAAAAAAATATCCTCTGATGATTTTTTAATATATTGTCAAGGTCATCAACCTGAGTTGTGAAAATTTTATTTGACAGTCATTGTTCATTAAAAAGTTATTAACAAAAACATTTCTTCGAAATAACAATTTAAATTAATTTTTTAAATTAAATTAGATCAGACTTTTACTCACAGTTTTAATCAAGTTTATTGTTATAAATAATTGATGACCAGTCATCTAAAATTAAGAAAAATATTCTAATTTCAATATAAATAATTAAATTGTTTAACAATTAAATGAATTTTTAAAATGAAATTAAACTCAGAATTAATATAAATGATGATATCAAATAAAAATTTATTTAATATCTGAATACATGATTTATATTGGATTTTGGATTAGATTAAATATAAATTAATAACTAAATAAAATCTCCACAACATTACTCAATGTAATTTCTTAACAATTAAAAAATTATTGAAATATATATCTTTTTGTAAATATTTACAAAAATTATTTATACAATATAATACAATAAACAATTTTTCTTGAATCAACTATTTTTCTTAAAACATTTTTTTGATAACTTTAATATTTCGTAAGATATTCAAATGTTAAGATATTCCTATTAAATGAAATATCTCGTATATCAGCGTAGTCAATCGTTGTAAGGTGATTGAAAGATAATATTGAATCTCAGATTTGTAATTTTCTTTTATTTTTTTTTTTGAAATCCATCAAATTTATTTAATTATTTCTGTTGTTCTTACATTATATTATATTTTGTTGTTCTTACATTATATTATTGCATTATTAAGTGCTAAATTTAATAGCATATTTATTATATATGAAAATTATCTGTTTCAAATGTATAAATTATCGAAATTGAGATTTCATATTTCATTTTCACTCTCTGTCATCATAAAAATCACTTCGGTTAATTACCAATGTTATTATTACAATATCATTATTTATGTATTATAATTATACAAAAGTTCATCTTATGTATATTTATTCGTTTTAGATTAGAAAATTAATAAAGAAAAGAAAAGAAAAAATTGTTAAAGAAATATAATATATTTTAATATAATTTGATTACTTTTATTCTAAAATAACAATCAGAATAATGAATATCGTTGGATCAAAATGAACCTGTGTCATGCGAAAGTTGAACATTTTATATTTGCTATTTTTAATATTTCACTAAATATTAAAAATTAAAATAATTGATTTCTCTTTGATTTTTTATTATATTTTGATATTATATTTTGATATTTCTAAAAATGAATATTATATATATTTGCTTTTTCTCATTGGAAATACATTTTATATAATTATGAGAATATGTTAAAGTTTATTTGATTATATAAAAAGGATTTGTTCTTTACAAGTTCCAAGATTCGAAAACATTAATTTAGATGAATATCGTTAATTTAAATAAATTCTTTGATTTTTATAATATTTGTATTTTTCGAAATTTTGAAATCAACTTTTTATATTTTTTATAATGGATTTTTTTAAATAGAAATAAAAAATTTTTTTTCTCTTTTTATAATAATATAATATAATATAATATAAATATAAAAATTGCAAATAATATTAAAATAATTGTAATGAATTAAAATATTATTAAATGAATTTTTTTATATTTTTATGTATTTTTTTAATAATGAATTTTTTTTTTAATATATGTGTCGAAATGTAACTTTATATGTAACTATTTGATAAAATTACTGAATAATGGCAAATACATAAAAAATTATCGCTTGACAAATATCTTTTGTTTTTTTACTTATCAACCGATATAATTATATGTGGTATTTTGTATTTCAATATATATACATTATAGTATATTTGCATTATCTATTTTCACATAAAATTTTATACTGAATTTTCATAGTTTTGAAACATATAAAGTAATAATTATAATAAAAAATAAAAGACATTTGTAAGTTGATAATTTTTTTACACATACACATTTCTGTACATCTTATATGTCTCGTTTTATGTAATATTTGAAAATATACAATATATATATTTATAAATATATATATTTTAAAAATTATATATAATATTATAAAATAAAAAAAAGATAAAAATATCTTTTCTTTAATTTAATTCAAAACTATTTAAACTATAAACTATATAAACATTTTTAAAATATTGCTAAAAAATTCCAGATAACTTAGGCTTAATAAACGGAATTATAATATAAAAAATAAATTTGTTACAAGTTTTTTATTAGAACTATATATAAACAGATTCTTCTCGAAGAATCATTCTAAAAAATATACATATATTTTTTCCAGAAAAAAATTGCTGGATCAATTAAATTTTATATAATTGTACATAAATTTGAATTTAGAATTTCAAAATAAAGAAATTTTCTTTTGGAAATACATTTGCTATTTTATAAAAAATATTTATTTTTAAAATAATAGAATTAGGAATAATTAACATTGAAATTATATTTCCTTTATTGTTTTAAAAAAATGAAAATATAATTATTAAATATTTTATTGTATATCATATCATAAAAAAAGTACATGATACCATATTTGATTATAAAAAAATAGTTATAATTACAAAAAAATGTAACTTAAAATATTAAAATATTTAAAAATTAAAAAAATTTGAGCATTATTAAATATAATAATTTATATTAATATTATTGTCATACATATGTAAAACAAAAAAAATTTTAACTATTCAATATATTAAAGTATATATAAATGTAATAAAAAAGAAAAATTTAAAAAAAATGACTTACCTAAAAGCACAATGTTTACACGTGTATGGCCTTACGTCCGTATGTGTTCTGATATGTTTCTTTAACATAGATGGTTTTTTACAACGTATGCCACATTCTTCACAAACATAGCGACCTCGACCTTACATAATAAAATAAGTTAAAATTCTTAACTATGAGGAATAATGATATGTTATTTGCAAAAAAAAATTACTTATAAAATAAAATATACATATAAATGCATATCGCAGTAGAAACACACATAAATACAAATATCACTCGTTTGAATATGGCAGTAAATATTAAATATATTATATATGATAAAATATAATAATAATATTTCGTTCAATTTTCTCCTTCGAAATATAATAAAATATAATATTAATATTTTAATGTTTTTTATTAATATTTTAATTTATAATATTTTGATATTTGCATAGATTATTTCGTTAAATATTTCATAATCCAATATTTTTTCTCAATATCATTTGATTTAAGATTTATTACAGATATATGTAAAATACTGATATTTATTTTAAATTAAAGATATAAAAAAAAAAATGTTTCTATTTATCCCAATTTCAAATCGAAGCATTGAATAAGAAATGAAAATTTTTAAAAGTAAAAAAATATAAATATAGATATTTTTTGGAATTAATCATTATTTTTAAATATTTAATTTTTTAGAAATTATTGATTTCAATAAATTATCAAATATCAAATATAATCAAAAAAAAAAAGTCAAGAATTATGATACGTGTATTTATTTTACTTGTATAATTACATCTATAATTAAAATACTAACAATTATTATAATATTAATAATAGTAACATATACTAACAAATATTAATATTAATTTCAAACATTTTTTAAAATATGAAACAGATTACTTGATTTTAAATGATTGCCATCTTGATAATCATCATTATGATATTTTTAATTTTTATTTTAAATTAAATCATGGATATTTAGTCATGCATATAATCTTTTAAAATTTAATCTTTTATAATCTTTTATATAATTAATCATTTAATTATAAAAATCTTTTTAATTAACTTAATATTTGAAATTAACATAAATTATTAATATTAATCTCAGAAATATTATAATATAAAATATAAAAAAATGTTTCTACTTTCAAATTTATATTTAGTTTTTATGACATTTAAATTAAATAATTAAATAATAAATAAAATTAAATAATATTTAAATTCAATTCATAGTGTCATTATCTTAAAATATTTAAATCTAAAATATATAGTAATACCAACAAAATTAAAAAACTAATTAGATTTGCTAATATTTAAATAATTATAAACAATGTAGAAAGAAAAAGTAAAGTTATTAAAAGTCATAAAAATAGTTAATAGTTAAATAGTTAAGAAGAGAATATCAATATATAAAGTCAGTTTATTTTATTTATATTTTATTTTTTAAAATTTTTAAAAAATGGAAAAATGCTCAGAATGCTATATCCTTGAAGATTATATAGATCTCATATAAAGTGTTCATATATTAGTGATGAAAATATAATATATAAAAATGAAAATATAACATCATGTATTAAAAATCTAGAGCTTCGTCTGAATATAAATCAATGACTATTTGCAATAGTTATTAAAATTATTATTATATTTTATTATTATATTTTATTTAAATAAAAAATATAAGCACATGTTATTACATAGACAAGTGTAAAAAGTATTATTTCCATTCCCTTACCTCTGCCTCTAACGTATGTATAATCTTCATTGCTTTCGAAGCCTCCGTCGAATATCTTCACTCTCTTTGCTTTATCTTGCATATCACTGTCCGAACTAGTCGGCGTGGTTGGCCTGTGCGAGGAATGCGTCAAAATATCCTCCTGCTTTTTCCACGCAGTTGTATAATTAAGCGGTCTGTGCCTCGAATCATAATGTGCCATATCAACATCAGGTGGCGCTTCTTTGCATATCTCCCAATTCGAATACATGGATAAACCGTGTTGCTGCGTGACATACATCGGCTGAGGTCTGTTCAAAGTGCAATAAAACACTCTAGTCGAACATTTCAGGCCAAGATATGTATAAGCGTGTCCGTTCAAGTAAAGCTGCCCGTAGGATTTCTTCGGCCGCGGGGTTTCCGGGCTTATGAGCGGAAGCGTATTCGCTGTTGGAGTGATACCGTGATGCTTCTTAGGCGTGAACGTGCCCGGTTTCAACGGTAACGAAGTTGGCCTCAAAAATTTGTTCGGTTTTGTCTCTTCCTTAAGCGACACGTCACCATTTTTCGCCAACTTCACCTCAACTTTGTCCGTTTTCGCGATTAAATCTACGGAAGTTATACTCGGCATATTCGGAGTTGATATGTTTGGTATAATCGGCGCCAACATTTTCGGCATGTTGGGCAAAGATATGGAGGAACTCGGGATGCTGGCCGGCGTGCCCGGTGGTTTGTACACCATCGTGCCACCCGAATGGAGACCCGATCTGACCACAATCGAAGCGGTCTCCGAAGTAACGCATTTAGTATTCATGGCCTGTTCATTCGTCGGAGAATTAGTTTGACGTGGCTCGATCCTCATCGTCTTGGTCTCGCCAGTGTTGTCCAATATTCTCACCTCACCTCCAAACATCTGTAACGAGTTTGGCCGCGGATACTTGCTCAGCTCCTCAAGAGATCGCAATGTAGTCGGTACGGATTCCGATCTCTGTTTCTTCACGGGTGGCACGTACGTGTCGACTAGTCTTGTATTACCCAGAAGGGGGCCAGGAGAAGGAAGAGGTTGCAAGTTGTTGTAATAATCGGAAGACTTTGAATCGAAATCGGATTCCCCTTTTTCAATCTCTAGCTGATATTCTCTTCGGGGACTCGCGTTACCGTTCCAGTAATACCTGTGATGAACATCGAGAACATCGATACCCGAGTAAGGGATGTCGCAAGAGGGACAAAAATAATTTTCGTTCTCCGCCGTTCTTTCTTGACATGAGTTTTGATTTTTCAGCAGGAGATCCTTGATTATGGAACTGCCCTCCGAATCGTTCGGACAATCTTTGCTTTCCTGTACGAAACTCTCGCTGTAGCATCGTTTTCTCGAAGATTCCTTTGCTGAGGAGAGATTCAACGGTTGATCGACAGATTGCTTTTCCACGAGACTCTGCTGTCTTTGAACCAGTTTGTGTAATCGCGGATCCACTGCGACGACGATCGTCTGATTGTCCGTGATAATTTTATCGATGTGCTCCTGCATTTGTTCCGAATTTGGTTTCGGCATGGTTATACATATCGTCGAGGAAGAACTGTTCGTGGAAGAAGTAGAAGAGAGGGAAGACGTTTCGATATCGTTGTTGGCACACTGGAGGGCCGTGTGAAATTTTGGCTTGTAAATTTTTCCAGTTTTAATTGTTTTCACGCTGGTTACGGTCATCGTAGGTGTCGATGACGGAGGAGGGGGTGGTGTGCCAGTACCGTTGCTCGCGCTATCAGACAAACTTATATCCGAATCCTCCGATACCTAAAAAAATAATAGTATATTTTTTCTGCACAGAAATTTTTTTTTAATGAATATATTTATTTATATTAGATTATTTAAAAATTAATTAAATGTTTTCTGATGATATAACATTTAAAGTTCGTACATATTGCTGTAATTGAGGATCTCAAGGGTAAGAACGAGTTATGCTATGATAATAGCATAGCGTTGATAGATGATAGAGACATTAAAGCTTTTAAAAATAATATTTCCATGAAAATTATATAATTAGAATTATGCAATTTATTATTATGAAGATGGTGCAATTGGATAAATGTTTTATTTTATTTTCTATATATTTAAATATAAAAATTGAATTGAAAAAGAAATTTTATAAAAATTTTTTATACTGCTTTATATCTATTTTAAATATATTTTGCTATTATATAATATTCTAATATATTATTGAAAGGAATTTATATTATAAAACTATTTTTAATATATCTATCTTGTCTCGTATATTTCTCGTCATATTTGCCGATATAATAAATTTTATCAGGAAAAATTTATGAATAAAACAAAAATTAATAAAATAAAATGAAAATTGTTTCTTTCGGAACAATGAACGAAATGACATTTAATACAATTTTTGATATAAAACATATAAAATATTTTTATCATATCATTATATAATAAATAATAAAGTTTAATTATATATATATTATATATATATAATATATATTTATATACATACATAATATTATTTTTCTATTATATTTGATATTAACATTTTAATTTATGTCAGTACTATTATAATAAAAAAAATAAATTAAGAAAAAATTATATATTTTTAAGAGAAATATAATATTTTTATAAAATTATAATTATGTTTTTGAAAATAATTCTTTTTTTAAAATTCAACAAGTCAAGTAATCAAGTCTCGCAAACAAAGTTCTCATCTTAAACTTTAACAGTTACATGATATATCTCTTAATGTAGCAGAATAATATGAGAATAATATGATATCACATGACACGATTCGACGCTTGATTTTTGGTAAAAACAGTCACGTGATGCAACTCTGCTTAATATATCAATTACAATAGCAAAATAATACATTATTTATGGAAATAATAAAAACATTTTCTATGAAAATTGAATCTCATTGCAAAGGAATTAAGTCATTTACAATAATAATAAAAATCTATGAATATCTATTCATAGCATGTTCATAATTTTGTTCGTAAATAGTAACAAAATAGAATTAGTTACTAGATTAATATTCCTCGAATATTTAAAAAAGTGTTATGAAATATCGTTATGTAAAATTGAAAATTAATCAGAACATACCTTGCTGGCATCACCACCCTCCATCTTGAGGGCGTGAGCGCGGGACCTGCAGTGCTTGTAGAGATTCGACTTGGTCTTGAATGCGAACCCGCAAGGCACACAAGGGTACGGCCTCTCATTTGTGTGAGCTCTAATGTGTTTTTGCAGAACACTAGGTTTTGCGCATGATAGTCTGCAATAAGGACACACATAACCATTTTTCCTCGATTCGGTTGGTTCTCCGTCCACTGATTCCGGGGAGATCTCAATTTTGATCGGGTCTTTCGGCGATTCTCTAGAGTCTTTCTCCAAGTCCTTTCTCTTGCCTGGCTCTGGAGTACCGTTGTTGACCACAGCGTCCTTCTTCGGCTCCACCCTCGATGTAACCTCAGTTGTCGCGATTTTTTTGAATTTCTTGTGCAGGTACTTTGGCTCGCCATCGTTATTATTGTTATTGTTATTATTATTATTGTTATTGTTGTTATTATTGTTGTTATTTGCCAACTGTGGATCTGTCATGGCCACAGTGTGAGTCTCTGGAAAAAACAAATGATATTTGGTTAGAAAACTTTGGTTTTTATTTTCCTTGATGTAAAAAGATTTCAATTCATAAATGATTGTTCATTTTCATATTTCCTATTATGCACAAAGAATTCATGAAATTTTTATTTTTCTGATATTGACAATATTGCAACAATTTTTTTCTATTGACTGTGCAATTAATAATGTGCAATAATTTTTTCTAATAATGATGATGATATGTTATGTTGTATAAGATGTTTTATAATCTTTTGAAAGAATAATATTAAAAAAATCAAATTAAAAAAATATATATCAAATTAAAAAAATATTTTGAAGACTATTGAGATAATAATAATCATATATATCTTTAGCATCTAACTAAGAATAAGTATGTATTCATGTTACTCAATAACTGTCATTGCATAAAAATTATAGAAATGAAATCATGAAATTTGAATATAAATCGAATAATATAATAACGGAAAATACTATCAATAAAACTTTATAAAGAAAAAAAACTTTTTTATCTATAATAGTATAAATAAAGTTGAATTTTAAATTTGAAATTTTTTAACTTTTTTTTAATATTTTTTTTTTTTATAGATTTTGACTTGCAAAATATTAAAATGAATTTTAATGATCAAAATTCAGATATCCAAAAGTTATTTGCATACGAATTCGCAAATTTTTAAGAATTTTTAAATGTCATTATATTGAACTTTCAATTCATTTAGATAAAAGTATTATCTCGTGTTAAATTCAAATTATTTTTCAATCAAAAAACCAATATATAATTATTTATTATTTAAAATATTTAATTTCAAATTAAATAATTCAAATATACAATTAATATTACAATATTACAATATTAATATTAAAAAATTATTGCAATCTTGCAATATATAAAATCTTTGCAAATATTTAATTTCCGTCACATGATTCAATTTTTAATATAATTTATATATTAATACAATTTTATAATATAATTTAAATCCTTTATCCAAAGAATAATTTGAATATGGTGCTAAGTAGATTATCAAAAATTCAATATGATGATATAATTGACAAAAAATCCCTAAAAATTCACAATTTTTCATATAAATTATTTCTAACTATTGAATTCTGATAGTAATTACCACTGTCATTTTCGTATTATTTTTACTTCACGTGAAAATATAAAAACACATAAGAAAAAAAATATAAATACACAAAAATTTTATTGTCTCAAATTAATATTCGATCTACTCTAAAAAATTTCGCACATTTATGTAAAAATTCTCGAAATTGGAAATAATAAGAAAATATTAAATATTATTAAAGAAATAATAATGTTCACACGGTAAAAGAAATAGAGTAAGGAAATGACAAACAGAATTACGCGAATCACATGCAAACCGGAAACAAAGAAATATTGTATGCTGGGAAGCGTGATTCACGAACAGATCCCAACTATTTTCCAATACTGCACTGCGAATCAACTAGATTGTTCCGAGAATCATTCTACCAGGAACATCATAATGAATCATATGTGTTGAATAGACTAATAACTTACAAACGTGAAGAGTAGGAAATTCTGAGAAATATGTAAGAAAAAATTTGTTATGATATTCTGAAAACAGCAGTAAATTATTAGTCCTTACTACATCGCATGTTTTTCACAAATTGAACGAAGTTTAATTTTTTTTTTTAAGTTTCACTTTTCAATAAAATATTCTTTACAAATATTTAGAAAATATTTTTACATATAGAATTTTACTTACATCTCGTTATTCTGTGAAAAATAAAATAATTTCATACGCAAAAATGAGTATTTGCTTTGTAAATAATTTAGAAAATGAAAATAAAATAAAAAAGATAAATTATAACAATATAAAAGTAATAACTGTTTTATTGCTGATGTAACTATAATTTATTAAATTTTGTTTTGTGAGCGATAAAGCGTAAAAAATAAATTTATTTTATATCAAGAATAATTAAATTATTTTTAAATAACTTTATATTTCTATTAATATTCTCTTTCCCTCTTTTTCTCTCTAAGATAGAAATAACAAATAATTTGTTGTTTTAAATATAATATTTAATGTATATAAATTTTGAATAATAAAGCTAGTAATTTTTTATAAAAATTATTCTCAATTTATATTTTTGATATACTTAATAATAAAATCAGAAATTATTTCTAAAGATATTTATTTAAAAATATATAAAAATAAAATTAAAAAATAAATATATTTTATTTCACATTCAAATCTATAAAATAATTTAAAATAAAATATATTATTCTTTTGTTCAAATAAATTATTGCGTAATTATTTTAAAATTATTATATCATAATATTATATAAGTTAAGAAAAATGATATTTATGAATTTATTATATTATTATGATATTTACGAATAACGAATTTTGAATACTTTATTTAAATATATAGTATTTAAACCTGAAACATATATAAGTTATACCGATGTAAAAAAATAGGACGCATAAATAGTTATAATTTATTATTGGTCAGTGACGTACTCATTAAAATATGTCGCAAATATACAATGATGAAACAAACGATGAAACAAACAAGCATATAACGTGGAAGCATGATAAGAATATTCATTCGATGCTTCATTGCTTATGAATATTTTTAATAGATATATGATACTTTATGATTATTTTTTAATTCGAATTTATGTTAACAAATCTGTTTTACGATAATATATATATATATATATATAAAACTGAATTTGAATTTGTTTGTCATCTCAAATTATTATATTTTATTTCAATCTGAAATTTTATTCTCTCTCAAGTTTATTCTGAATATTATCGATTGCTATCGAAATGAGTCTTAATTATTTCGAGAAAAAACAATATGCAAACGCATTTGACGCATAATTATCAGTTCACTTAATATTCAAGGCCTGAAAGGTCATTCATTATTAATTTATACATTTTGTTGCATTATAAAAATAGAAAAAGTCAAGTTCAACACTTCAAAATTTTGTTTATTCAAGAACAAAACATTTCTTTATTGGAATTTCAATTCATAACTTATCGAAACTCGTTAAACCAGATTTTTTTACATGCCTTTAAATCTATTAGGAATTATTCAACTTTCAAACGACTATCATCTTATCGAGTATTGCTAATATCTTATTATTAATACCTGTTATTTTAATTTTAATTAATATCCATACTAATTGATTGATATTCGATTATTGATTTTTTGCTTTTTTATTATTATTTCATAAAATAGGTTATTTTATTAGTAATATTTAAAAAATTAATTTCAATAAAAAAGTCATAATAATTAATGTTTAATTTTAATTTATAATTAATTTTCCAAATATAGTAAAACATTATTTGAAGTGAAGAGACAAGATCGTTTGTTTGGATAAAGGAATTTTTTGATTTGAATGGATCGGATCATGAATTTTTTTTTCATATTTTGAAGAAAATAATATATTTATTAGTTAGATTTCATTATATACAAAGTGAGCGATCCCTTAATATCCCTTATATTTTTTATTATCGATTATTATATCTGAAGTAAGTAATCGATTTATAGGATATAGTGGAAATAGAGGATGAAAATAAAATTATATAAATTTATATAATTTTTATCTTATTTTCTTAAAAATGCAATAATGAAGCGAATAGATTAATGAGATTTTTTTTTATAAAAATAAAAATAAATTGCTTATGAATATTTTTAATAGATATATGATACTTTATGATTATTTTTTAATTCGACATGATGACGTACACGACATAGATCGAATGATGAATTTTTTATTGATAATTAATTTAAATTTTCCAGAATATTCAACTAAATTTCATTATATGCAAACGATTTTTATGAACAAGATATTATTCGTTAGAGCATTAATAAAGAATAAATTGTAAATTGTGTAAATATATTAAAAAATAGTGAAAACTAGAAGATAGAAGATTAATAGAAGATTAAAGAAAAATTTTCTTTATTATATTTCACTTAAATTTAGATAGAAGAATATTGTTTTTTGGTAGTTTAATAATATAATAATAATCGCTTAAATAAATATATTCCATTTAATTCATTGATTCATACTTCTTCAACCATAGGAAATTTATTCTTAGGGTTTTTTTTATTTTTAAATTTCTATTTAGCATCTCTCCAGCAAATCTCAATTGTCTGAGTATTTGCATCACTTTCATAATTATTAATTCAAATTAGTGCTAACAAAGTTATCACTAATAATTAAATAAATCTGAAGTATGTTTTTAATTTTAAAATCCTTTTATTCGTCAAAATATTTTTTTATTCATCATCTAATCTAATCTAATTTAATTCAAACTCGAAATTTCTATCGAAAACATATATATATATTATTAGATTATTTTTTTCATGCAAAGTATATATAAAGACACATTATTACAAGATTTATCACTTTGTATAAAAAATGAACTCAACTAATTTATATTGAAATTGGGATAATGGTATAAAAAAAATCTTATTATATGTTAATAAACATTATATCTCTATTACATTTCAATTTTTTAGTTGCCAAATTATACAAATTTTTTTAAATACAAAAGAACATATACTTTACAAATAATTTTTCATTTTATTTATTCTGTTTTTTAATGCTAATATGACTTTTTCAATGTTATATACTTTTTCCAAATCCGTAATACTCTTACCTCTTTTTAATTTCCGATTTCATTTCAATAGTTCACACATTTTATATACTATGTGAACATCAATATCAAATTAAATTTTATTTTCATTGCTGCAATAAGGAAAATTGGTTATATTAAATAGATATATATATTTTGAATATTTAAATGTTCGGTTAATAAAACATTCGATATTAAAATATTTAAATAATAAAAATTCTATTGTAAATTCTTTTTTAAAAAAATATTTTATCTTTGTCATTGTAATAAAATTATCTAATTAATTACATAATTATCAATTAAAATAATTACATTAAAATAATTTACATTAAATTATCAATTAAAATAAAATTTTTTCATTTTAA